GATTTCATCTCACCCGGTTAAATCTGCACGGCCGATTAATTTTAACGTCGGATGCTGCGCTATAAATACACGCGTTTTCAACATTCCCGGAATGTTACTGCTGTGTTCGATTAACTGCAGAAATAAAAAGGCACCGAGGTGGGCTGAAATACCGCGTGAAAATAAAGCATTCTGTTCTACGGCAATGGAATTAACAAGTATTATGAGTAGTTTATTATAGTTTATACTGACATTGATAACCCATGTTAATGGAGGTAAACATTAGAATATTAACAAGTATTATGAGTAATTTAATACATTTTATATTGGTATTGATATCCCGTATTTGTTAAGGTAAACAGAAGATATTCGTACATCGAAAAGATATATCCACATGTCTTCGTATTTAAATAGCATGTGAAAATAAACAGAATAGAAAAAAATATTATTCCTTCCACTCAAAATGCATAAAATTTATCAACATCTGTTTGTTAATACCTTCTAGTAATTTGATGTTTGAAATAGATGGTAAATATTGGACTCGTGGGAAAGTAATTTTGTTTTCCGCATTGTGTAAAATTAACGATGTTTTTCACTAAATCCTTTCCCGGAATTTTCAATGAAGAAAATTATATTACTGATTAATTATAACAGAGGAAGTTATACCATCGATTAAACAAATTGTTATTATTCAAAAATTGTAGCTATCCTTTTAATGTCGTAGAATGAAAGAACTGTTGCACCAACCCAATATGTGGTTCATTTAAATTACTTACAAAGAACATTCGTATACATCGATATTAAAAGCTGCATTCCTCAATAATAATAAAATAACGAACAAATGCAGTCCACATTTCTACAATACTATTTTTGTATAAAAAAAAATTCTAAATAAATCACGCTCATTCCATACTACAATCATAAGAACAAACATTATGTAAATAACAAGAATCAAGTCCACCATCAAAAGAGCTTCATTAAACCCACCCATCGAAACATACGAATTAAATCAATGAAATTACCCCCATAAAGTCAAAGAACTCCATAATGCACGAAGATAAACATCAGTAAATAAAACTTAATGAACCACACTTTATCATGGACTACAAACTCTCCCCATATGTAACTCCGCCCCAACAATGAACAGAAGAATCCACCCCCGCATCCACGCAATACATCGAACCATCAACCTACGCACCTCGAAACTTCAACCTTCGAACCAGCAACATTCCCCAAGAAACATCGTATTTCGTATCTACCAAGAATCCTCAATTTCGTCACTCGTCCCCAAGATTTATTCTCCTCTAGGGGATGCTCAACCGCTAGATATGTCCCGCGGGAGTACTGAGATCCGGTGACGAAAATGTTTTTCGGGTGGATCGTCGAGGATCCCGAATAATCCCGGTCGACCGGTCTCGCGACCGTACGTTTCATTACTACGAGGAGAGATTATTTACGACATGGCCCGTTGGACCCGTAGGTCGACGTGGTCCCTCGAGGTTAACTCGTTTAACCTTTCCCCCCACCGTGAGGCCAGCTGAGATCGGGGATCTGCCTTGGACCCCGTGACACGTTCTACGTTCGATCGGTACACCCGGTGGTTCCACGTTTCGAGGACGGTGGATCCTTGGTAGGCCCGGAGTATCCTGCGGGCCGCGACCGCCATCGAGATAGACGGTAACGTCACGATCCAGTTACTCGACCCACTCGACACACGGTTGAGAGACCGTCTCGTGTCGTACCGGAGGTGAGATCGTGGCTGATCCGAGACAACGTCTTCTTTCGTGTCTCTGGCCGAGTTTCGAAGCTCGTGACTCGACTTCAAGATCCTCCTAGACAGGCCACGTACCGTGTCCTTTATGCTGGCCATTCGTGTCCTACGAATTGCCGATCCCCTCCCACCTGGTTGGTTGACTTTCTGTCACGGGACTTCATGATCGACGTTACCGTAAAGGAACAGGATTTATCGAGACGTTTTACTGTCGTTCGGTTTTGCGCACACTCGTGACGGTGGTTGTGGTTGTAAATTGACTGGTTTCGTAGGTTTCACGAGTCACGGTTAGTTTCTACGGGAGACGATGAAGAGGCTGACTTGTATTGGGAGATGCGGAGAGAGGATCAGAGCTAGACGTCTGGGAAGTTTAATCCTTTTTGTCCGGAATTGTGATATTCTTATTTTTTATTGGTATCTTTATTGTAGACACTTCTAGACTAATCAAATAATACATATGCTAGGTATAAGTATTTTTTACAATTGTTAGGGGATACTGTGCTACTCAGAAGTCATGACCCTTGGGTCGAGAAGGAACGTATTTTGTTTATGGTAGCATTTTAATATAAGTGGTACTTTAAAGTATTTTTATTGGGACGTAAAGGGTTACATTAACGTGGTAATTAAGTGGTGAATAGAGGATGGTTTGATGAGAACGTATTCTTGGTGGAAGAAATATAGAAACTTTCTTGTAGCCTTTTTGAGTGGTTTGACCCACTTGCAGGACTCCAGACTCATCGATAGAAGTTAGAAAACGAGGAAAAGCAGGACAACATCGTGACACACAAGTTAGTTAGTTAAACCACAGTTAGTTGAAGTCTAGTCTAGTGAAAGAAATGCGAATATTGCGAGATCATGTCCTATTTATCTGGTTCACTTCCTTCTTCGATTCGCAATATTCCGAGGCATATTTATCGTATTACACGTTCTGATTCACGGAAATCCTGCTGTGCAGAAAATCGTTAATAGGCTGCAGATTTCATGCATTCATCGTAAATGTGAATATGCAAAGCCTAACACATTGAAATGTGAACGCATAAAATCTTTTTGCTCTGGTTCAAATTGCTTCAAACTGCTTCAAACCTTTATGGTTCCATAGAGCAATCGATGTTCTCGAAAATAATCTGTAAATAATCTTACAAACTGTGGAATTCGTAATATATTAATTTTGTATTATTTTTCATCGAAACTGGCATTAAACGTAACAACACAAATGAAGGATTTACTAAAGTTAAATGACGTTTTCTTGTATGAACTAACGTCTCTTGGGGACTTAATATGCTGAATAGATTAATTTTCATGACAATATTAACTGAAAATTCGAATAAGAAATATTGTGTGAGAACTGGGACGGGAATTCAGGCGAGAAAATCAGTTGCTAGTACATATATAATATATATTATATTTCCATAATATATCGGTACATGTACATCCACCTTCCGATACGATACGATAACATCCATTATTGTAATTTTTCATTTATAATTAGTATGCATAGACGTAAGTACGTACATACGTTTTAAAATTCAATAAGGAGAAACATCCATGTTTCCCCAGCGAAATTAATCGTCTGATCAATAGGGTCGAATTCGACAAAAATGTTCAATTATTCTACGAATTTCCATAGCGATCGTCTTCGACGTAACGACGTGTAAACGGCGCATCACTGTCGTCTGATTGGAAAAAGTGGCTAGACGAAACGCCAATCAGAGAACAGTACGTCCATACGAATTTCGCGATCTTTCGTCAATGAAAGTTCAACAAGACACCAAATACATCTGATTCCGTCGATCGAAGACGTCGCCGATCAAGAGACTAGAGTAATCGGAGACAGAAAAAGAGTTTCAGATCAGAATGTTCCACGCTTTTCTGTTCATTTTTTTCCCTCTATATAGGTAAAATTTTGTACAATTTTCTTTCCCTCTCTGAAATTCGTCGCAGACACGATTCCCGGTTGGATGATGGATCGTTTCGCCGTCAACTGAAAATAGGAACTCAACTGAATAGGAACTTCCTCTCCGATTTATTCTACACACTTCTGCATCATTACACCGTATTAACGGATAAGATTAAAAAATTCATTATAAACCGATGAAACTAATAAAACAGAGAGTTCTTATCGAGATCACTCGTGTACACTCGCAAAGTAACTCATTCATCATCGTTATACATCGTTTTACATCTTTCAGACCAGAATACAACCCGTACGAAAACGGTTACACGAATTCTTCGTATTCCCATACTGTACACGCTTCGTAGCCCCGTTCCTTTTATCTTTTCACAAAGAGCTAAAGTGAACATCGATGATAGTAGTACACGCGGTTCGGATACATACCATTCGTTTGTGTTTCGCTTCGATAATGGGGTTTCTTTGTTCGCAACGGATCGTGCCCAGGCCTCGAGGTACGCCTTAATTAATGAAAATCACAGAAATACTATGGATCACTGAATATATATAAAAGAGATTTCAAAGCAAGCAACTAGGAAGGAATCGAAATAAATGGAAATTTATTCGAATTATATAATATCGCGAGTTAAGGGAAACGAGAAAGTAAAAAATGGAGAACGGAGCCATGGATGAAGCTTGTTACTCGGACATTGTACGCGAGGGAGGTAAGACGCGGAACGTGTATACTGTACAAAAACGAAGAAAAAACCTGGACAACGAGGAACGAGCGCGGAGAAACATCATGGAGCTACTCCAGGATGAAAATTCACGGTTCTATGAAATGCTTGCTCGATGAGAACTAATTCCACGAACGGCGGAAGGAACAAACTGATAAATATTATCATAATTATACATAATATACAATTATTAATATAAGAAATCGCATTTTAAGTTGTAGACAATGTAACGGCTACGAAAATACAGTTGATCCAGACGATCGCACATTCGCCACCACGTTCGACCAAAATCGAACAAGAACTTTCATAAAGAAAATCCTGTATCCAACTTTGCTCGTACGAGAACACAATCAAAATAAGACTTAAATGTAGCACTAATTAATCATAGTAACCTGGTCAGTTTTTCCAGAGATATCATAGCAAAGTCCGAAACACTTCCAACTTAACCCTGATCTGTTAAAGAACGATCGCAAGAAGTATCCTTACACTTCATCGTTTACGTAATATTATTATTTATTACTCACGTAAATACGTTAAAATACAGTGAAATTAATACCGAGGAGAAGCTTCTTTTCGTTATCATTTTCGAAATCACGGTTAGGCCGGAATCTTTTGGAGTTCGCCGCCTAGATCGTCCAGTAACCGACTCATGTTGACATCGAATTACCAATGGAGGAGTAGTGTCAGCCAGCTGGTAGTAAATGTATTAAACATTGACAGTGTGAAACACAATCGTAAAGAATTAGGAAATCTAGAAAGGGTAAGGGGGGTGGAAATTAAAGGGATCATAGGAATTGTGCATCAGTTTCGATCAATCCCGGGCGTGGAAGACGTTTAGCCCCATTTCTGGAAGACGCCCACTCGTTGGCACTGGCAATTCGAGCCCCATAAGTTGCACCTGCAGCTGGAACTGTGGCAACAATCTTTCGGTCGGTGATCGCAGTTTCCACCACGCGGGATGCAGGCCCGCCTGAACAGGTAAATCAACGAGGTACGTCTGCGCGAGATTAGGGGAATCAGAACAATGCCTTGTGGAGGACATCGCGACACCAAAGGACAAGGATGGAAATGGGAGAATTGTTTCTATCTACAGGGTTCTATATTTTATGTTAACCAACAATAAAATTAGTAAATATTTATAACAACTTTTCATTTGTATACTTATAAAGTAGTCCCAATTTTTGTATTTAACCACAAATTATTCCAATATACATATAAAACCGATTTATAATGATTAAAAATAAAACCATGCTAAGTATCGAAAAAAAATTGTAATAAAGTTCATTTATACAAAATTAATTGTAAATATAACTAGAATACGGGTGTATACGTGCATTAAAAAAAAGGACAAGTTTATACGTGAAGAAAAATGAGTTATTAATTTTGATCGATATTTCCCTATTTCGTTACACTATGCGCCGGGACAATAATTTGCTGAAATGCTTCAGACGATAATTGAGAGGAGTCTATGCTTCGATTCTAAATCGAGGTACTTGTTAAAAACGTTTTATTGTTAACGTGTTATTGTTTAAAATAGAATTGAAATTGAGCTAAAGTAAGTTGGGGTAATTTTGACTCAATCAGAGGTAACTTTGTCCCGAAATCAGACAATTTCAATTTTCTAGCTCTTTTGCGGATACCTTTGCGGGAAACACCTTTTGTCATAAACATCGACTTAATTTAACAGTTTGCAGAACTGTAAAATCGAAAATGACCATTCTGTGACTTCGGATTAAATTAGCCTGACTGAGTCCTAGTTACCTCAAATTACGGTATCGGAGAAAAAAATTTGTAAACAGAAGTATATGGAAGTGTAATATTAGGTTAGTAGTCCAGTCTGATGCCTAAACGTGCATAGTATTCATTGAAATGAACAAATAAAATTGGTAAGTAGTATACGATTGATAAGTACCGATCTATAAATAAATAAAATTATAGAGGTTGAGTTCTGAAAAAAATAGTTCAATGTTTGAAACACTTCTTAATCGAGTTTTTATGACTGAAAGGATTGGAGTACAACATGCATTTCTACACATCAAAGAACGAACATTACATAATTATTAAGGAGATAGAGTTGGTGGGTTTTGTTAGGAATACGAGAAAGGGTTGAATAGTTGATACGAAAGAATCATAAATACTCACTTTTGTTGAGCTGCTCGCATCAGATTCTCTAACGCATTGTCTGTATAATCGGAATCTGCGACCTGCATTGCGTCTTCTTCTGTAACATAAAAAAGCATAACGTTATTACTGTAAAATAACATTTAACGAAACGTATATGAATTGAAGTTGAAACATAATATATTCTGTGAAGTAGAAATATCCGTTCAAACTTCTTAAGCGTTAGATTTTTTCAATTGTCTATATTTTAAGGATTAAGTTCTGGAAGAATGAAGAAAATTTTAATAAACGCCATCTTGTATGGTGTATATAGATGTACAAAATAATAATTAAATTACAGATGCTGATTATGTATGACAATATGTTTTTAAACATGATAAATTATAGTAATTCAAATGAAATTTATTGAATTACACGAAGAAACATTGAATTTCTAAACAGGAATTTTACAATTATAATTAGAAAATAATGAGTATTCAAGTGAACGCGTAAATGCCTATATTGTTGATATCAAAGACCTAAACAAACATACTTTGTCATGATACTGTTCCAAGAGTGAGAAAGTTATAGCATTCAACAGTTATACATACATATTCTTCCGCTACGAATGAATACAATCCGTGATCTACTTGAAACACTCCGGAGAGATGAATGACGATCAACCGTTTATTCCAACGAACCAATAAAAAAACGAGCAAACATGTTCGAGGCGTCCATTCATGTGGTTGCCGCGAAATGTCACTCTGGGAATCAATTTTCCAATACAAGAAACGCATCACTGCCCAATGATCGATTGAACATCGTGAAAGTCTGTTACAATAAAACATCGACTATACGAACTGGTAATAAAAAAAATCACGTTTAATTGTATTGGATTAGCCAAACAATTCCTGCGGTTTTTGGCGATAGTTGTCCTCAGGCGTTCTGAAGTGTATCTAACTTTAATTCAAATCTTCAAAAAATAATATTTTTCAATAAAAGTGCTTGATACGATTACCATCCCAATTATTTTTAAGAAAAACTTTAATTCTTTGATTTCAGATGAGTGGATCTCGAGGTTTTCGATACACCGTTTGGGCATCCGTTTTTTAAACTGGTTTTCGGAGTATATATCTACCTGTGATCATACGAGAAATATTTTTTACGTAATTTAAATGGTTTGAAGAGACGAATCAGATAACAGTAATTTTTCAATGGTATTTTTCAAGGTCGCCCATGTTTTTTCACGTATATGCACATAATTTTTCCTGTTGTATGTTATAACCAACATTATTATCCATTTATCCAACTATAATACTATCACCTTGAATTGACCTTGAACTCCAAAAATTTTAAGTTTACTTATTGAAAATTTACTCTAAAAATTTTCAATTCATTTATATAATTTTTCCACCAACTAATTCGTCCCTATATGTATGTATATATAAATATGTATATGTATATATATATATATATGTGTGTGTGTTTAATTTCCGCCTCAAGGTCGTGCGTACGTACGCCAAGATTCATCTGAACTCGTCCTTTTCTCCCGTTCTCGTTGTAAGATCGCAGGGTCGTTCCGCGAATACAGACACGGAGACACACGAGAGTACTACGGCAAACTTTACGAGAATGCAAAGCGAATTACACGTGACTCGGATTCATTTAAGGTGATGGTGTTCCTCAAGGTCGGAGGAACCGCCCCTTGCTGCTCCGTTCATTTTCTCGGCTGTCTGTTTGATCCATAAATTATTTAGAAAGCTGTATAATTTAACTGAATGTTTGTGAATTAACTGAATCGAATGATCCTATGGGTACAAGTAAAACGGAAAGGAGATTCATAATAAAAGTGAGAAACGTGGTACCTATGTACTTTTAATTTAATCCCATCGTAAAACAAAACCTTGAAAATCGAACTTCACTTCACACTTTATTGACCGATAACCTATTAATAGGCTTTTAAATTTAATTTTTTGTAGATAAGAAGCCTAATATTTTACCCTTGGATTGGGGTTAAGGAAATAATTTTTAGGTTTTTCTATTAGTTTTTGTCATCAAATTGGTTAATTATTTATTGTCTTGTTTATTACTAACTTACTGTTATTATTATTGCTAAAATTAAATAAATTAATAGTAAGTACCGAAGAAACGCGTGTGGTGGCGACAATATTTTACTTCTTTATGAACCTACTAAAACAGAACGCTGACTTATTTACAAGACGCAAGAAGTGAATTATGCGCCACTATCTACGAGTCCCTTTGATGAACTCGCTTTACGGAACCATGTTCAAAAGCGCGTCACGTAAACAGGGGGTCTTAACGATGGGAATATTAAAGACCGTGCGAAAACCTGGAAGGAGAGATCTTAAAATTCATTTTCCACCCCTTTCGTGAGAGCTGGCTGGCCGATTAGTTTTCATGAAACATCGCCATAAATTATCATAACGAAATAACCGTTACCAACCAACGTAAACATGGCGACAAGCGTGTACATTCAAAGGAAATAGGAAAACTAATTTCCCAAGGTTCTTGCTTCAAATTTAATAATACATGTTCGATACAAGTGTGATGGAAATTTTCGAAAATTAAACCGTATTTTATACTTATTTGAGCCCTATTTTAAACTTACTTTAATCCTATTTTATTCTTCTTTTAACCTTTTTTAACTCCATTTTAACCCTATTTTAACTCTATTTCAAGCCTATTTTAAGTCTACTTTAACCGTATTTTAACCTGATTAGAGATCTAGAGCCAATGACGGGATCTCTAATCGACTATTTTAAAAATTCTTAAGGCCTCTATAGACTCGATAATGATATTTTCAAAGGCCTCTGAAAATTCTGAAAATATTATCATCTAATCCACAGAAGCCTTCAAGATTTTTTCGAACAATCCATTACAAATCGCATCACAGTTCCTAAATCACGCTCGGTTGACAAGGAATCCGGTGAATCGTGATCCCCAAGGAGATCGTATGGAACTGAAATCTGACTGGGAATTCATTAATTCCTGTGAGATAATCCCGACAGGGTCCATACAGTAGCTATGTGTACACGCAACGACCATTCGTTATCTTCCTTCCTCCATTTCCTTGGTAGTCGGTATTCCCATCGCGGCGACCTCTGGGATTAAAGTAATCCGAAGCTGCTTCTTCTCCCTTTTGCCCTTCCACTTTCTACCCCCTTGGCGACGACGTAGTACACCATGGATGCTGACGATGTATCAATAGCCGCCACCGAAACTGTAAAGTTTCCCTTCCGAGAACCATTTCAGGAAGTTCGTCGCCTTAAATTGGTCACATTGAGACCAAACGATCCCAAATTGGTCACGACTGTGAGACTAATTTTTGTGAATTGTCACGTGGAAACATGTCTGAATAATACCTGAATAGGATAGATGGAATCTAATGTACGAACCCTACAGGAGGTCCTCAATTCAGCTATACATTCGAAACGCATGGTTTGTCCCAAAAATTTTTGAATTCAAGTTAAGACAACATTATTATAGTCACAAGACGTTATTTTTTATTTACAAAATCGTTTAATTCGTTTTCTATTCTATTTCTATTCAGCTTCCATTTGGACATATTTCGAAGTTTTGTGTCAAACTGTTTTAACTTGTAGCGACAAATTTAGTAAGATACACTCAACGTTAATAAAATATGAAATTCTTTGAAGTGTGGGCAGTTCTAGGAATAACAAAGTTTCTATTTAATTAATTAACATTTGCAATTCCCTTTCTACGCTTCGAATTTTTCCAGATTAACTGCGCCATGTTTACACCAACGCGAGCAGAAGCTTTCCAACAAATTACCACCATTCAAACAAATTACCACCGTCTTCGTAACAATAAATAAATGAATCGTAACATAACAGATAAACACTGTCAGAATAAACTTTCGGAAAATATCAAATTATTCCATTCTCGCAGAAATAATAAATCAACCCCATTAATTGTCACGCGAACTCGCAGGTAAGGTTAAATTTTCCGCGGAAAATCCACTTACGCGAGACAAAGGAAATTCTCGAAATGAAGAAAACTGGAAATTCTTCACGAACGGTTGAATAGACCGTTTTTACGTGTTCTACGAACGATGATGCTTCTAATTGTCATCCTTAAGAGCAGCAAAAAGTAGACGCGGGGTAAAAGCTTTCTCCTCGAGAGAGGTGTCGTTGTAAACAGAGAAAACACGTTTCGTTGGAAGTTTCCGTACCCTGAAATTTCCACGTCTCGTCGAGGAAGTTGATGGTTGCGGTATAACGTCGTAGAAAGGGTCGACTAGGGAAAGGAATTGCGTTGTTGTCGTAACAAGGAATTCTGATTATTTCGTGTGTTTAGGATCCCCCATAAACGACACGGTGTCTGAGCATAAATTCCGATGAACGCGCAAAATGGAGAACACGTTCCGACATTGCGATCCCGTGAGCAATACTACTCTGGATTATAAATTATTGTTATTAGTAGACTGCGGATTTTATGTATTTATAGCCTATAGGGCTCTGTGGAATACAATAAAAAACAAAACTTTCATCGGATTCAACGAGTTTTCTATTTTATTCTGAACCCAATAAGATATTTAAGAGGGAAAATAAATTTCTACGATTGCTCCTGTCTTTATAAATTACTTTAGAATCTTTTATTTTGCATGAAAATCCGCAATCTAGTTATTAGTAATAGATTGTATGCATTTATAGCCAGTAGGACTTTGTCTAATATAATAGAGAACAAATTTTCGTCAGGTGCAATGTGTTTTCTAGTTTATTCTGAACACAATAGGATATTTCAGAGAAGAAAGAAATTCCTATTTTTTTTCTGTCTAAATATGTATAACTAAAACTCATTTTATGTTTTCTAATATGTAAGTATAATTATTTCCATGTAACTTTTACGAAAACTAGCGTCGGACTAATGGTAAACATTCCGCAGGGCAGAACTTTGCAACATCACCATGATAGAAAACAAAAAGGAAAACCTTCTGTGTGTAAATTCCTTTCCCCTGGTACTGTATTTCATAGTTAAAATTATTGTTTTATATTATTATATAAATGAAATATTACAATGTTATTTATAACTGTAATATAATTATACTTATTGATTCTAGTATTTATCATTTATACATTCTTTAGTATTGTTACTATTCTAATATTGTTAATTCGCCACTGTTTAATCATTTTCTACTTTCACTAATGATTCTAAGTGAATTTTATAGTCACGATTATAACATTTAGTACGCAATGTGATCGAACTCTGACATAACTTTTTTATTTTACATTATGTAAATAATACTGTTATTTACTTTTTCAATATAAATATATCGTAATACATGAATTTTATATCGTAAAGAAATACATTTTAGTCATTTCTATCATTATTCAAAGAATTAGTATATTAAGCAAAAAATTCTATGACCTTACTGTATATTCGCTTTTATCAATTTTTCACTTGTTCTCTAGATTTTTTTTTGTCGGTTGCCTTAAGTACTTCCATTTCCGTATTCATTGAACGGATGCATCGATTGTACATTTCGTTAAATGTTCTCCCATTAAAAAACCTCGCGCACGTCCCCGAGAAGCCGTCGGAATTAATTAAACGCGCGTTCAATTAAAGTATCCCGCAAGGACGATTGCTTGTTTAACCCCGGTACCATTTTCTTCTCGGTCGCCATTCTTACGTAACGCTTCCCGATCGACGGTTGACTCGTTCGAATTAATTGTCCGACACGACCAACGTAACGATGAGAATCAATAGGAAATATTGCGTATTCACTTAATAAATAATCGAATCGTAGGGATTTAGAATCTCCCTCTTGGATCTGTATGGAGTACACAATCTATTATCAGTATTTCAGTAATAACAATATAAATCCTATAAACAAATAATCCTACACGATTCAATACGTGAATATATGTATGTATATGTTCGATGAGAAACTTCAGTTTGATAAAATTATCTTGTGTCTTCGAATAAATAAATATTTAAGCGGGCAGATAGTTATCTACATGCTAAAATAAATCGAAAATGTGTAATAAAACTATTAGATACCCGTGGAATTGTGTGTATAAGACTTGGCCAACGCGTCTGTTCATTACACTCCGTTTCTACTTATTTCCGTAACAAATGCACGAGTTTTAATTTCCAAATTCAATTCTCTCGAAAACTAAGCCACGAATGAAAACATTTTATTCTGTACTTTTGATTTATTTTTGCATAAGGAATCACATCCCGTTCGCTTTATCATCCTTTCGGCCACACCCTGTATACTGTAGATGAATTTCATCTTAGGACAATATATAGCAAATATTGGGGTTAGCTCACGAGACGCCTTGTTTATTTTAATGAAATATTATATATGTATATTGCATTAAAAAACATATATATTATATTTATATTTTATTGGCAATATGTATTGCCATGTGTCTGACTATACATTGATTCGTACCACTAGCCACTGTCCCCACTGAACACACGATTTCTATAACGTTGCACTAACCATCCAAGTATCTATATAAACAAAAAAATAGCTAATAAAATCACAGAATTTCTAAATTAAATAGAAAAACTTACGAATATTGGCCACAAGTTAAAATTAAAGGAACACCCTGAAATACAACACTTCCTGTTTTCAAACACTCAACAAAACAATAATGATTAAATTGCAGATTTTATGTATTTTTCATAAATGTGATTTTACAAAACACAACACATTGAAGATTTTCGAAAAGGTGAATATATGTATAAAAGAAGGAGTAACTTAAACAAGGAAAGCAAAACTTTGTCATGAATTCAATTCAGTAAATTAATCTATAGAAATCTGTATTTGCATAAAAATCCACAGTCTAATAATGATTTTTAAAAATAAAGTGTAATCTAAAACACGACACTCTTTTTCTTTAAATATTCAGAAGTGTAATGATATCCAGTATATGCGTAATTGAGGATTTCCTGGATATTCGATTCTATCTTTGCTTCGATATTCGTATCTCAATATTGTTGCATGCGAAACCGTATATCGAAGCAACGAAGCCCAAGAATTGACTCGAGAAACACTAGTGCAAACGACAGACGCTAATGTTTCGTTTCACCGGCCGACGGAATGACTGCGCACTGGTTCATACTACTAGCTGCAATTCCTGGCAGGCACACACGCCATTTCTACGACGTTGCACTTGTCATTCACATCCTTAGATCAAAGAGTTCTATTTAATAGAAGCATTTGCATTTTCAAACAATTTTTTAAAAGAATGAAATATAGATATTCTACTACCGAACAAAAATTGTTCAATTTTAAAAACACAGGTATAATTTACAGTTGGAAATTAAAATGAAATTGTTGTTTTATGTGTTTCATTAACAGCACCTATTGTCATAATATTTGAAGACATTCGACCATAACGATTACTATTACTAGAAAAATGTATTGTTTTATTGTTTATTAATTTATTCTTTCTATTAGATTTATTTTGATACTACGCGTTTGATTTTTTACACAAATTAATGTATATTTCGATAAATCACTACGATTAGTTAATACGAAAATTTCTAATACTGGCTGTCAATAATAATCAAATTCCAAAAGGTGAAATTATAATGAACTCGGAAAAGAAAATATGTACCACACTTTAATAATATATTTCAAAATTTATAAGAAATAATTTGTAGAAATATAGACAATCGTCTTCCATTGGAAAAAGTATTCCTGAAGAATATTCTTCAGTTCATAATTTAAATTCTTCTCCCAACAAATGTAAAAATATTCATCACAAGTTCATGAATATTTTACCGAATCATCACAGACGTGACTGTTATTATTCTGCTTGCATGAAAGTATGAAATTGTTCCGTGTACCCGGCAGAGAATTGCGTTCAACTATTTAGTGCGTCAATTCCCACCAAATTCCTGTCCAATCATTGTTGTCACTTGGTACGTAATATGGGAGGTATCCATGGCTCTAACGATAAATAATCATTAACGAACTAATAGGATTAAAGCATGTCAACTCAACGGAACCGTAAAACACCGAAAATAAAACCGATTAAAAGCGTTCACCGCGAAATGCCACGCATAAAACAAGAATGGAATATCGAACTCGATTCTTAAAATAGCAAACATTGTTCGCAATTCTAATTTTATCCCGCCCGTGCAAAGTTAATTATGACCTGTCTTCCGCCATGATATCGAAAGACGTTGAAATTCTACTAATTTCAACTACGAATTGAAATATAACATTATAAAATCTTCGATTTTAATGTTTCCTAAGTTTCGAAGAAAGAATCTAGCACAAATGTTGAACAATTTAAAATTAAAATACGACAAATTAGGTTTCTAATGTGTTTAATATTTTTCTTTTTCTGTTCGTGATAAAATTACAGAACTTATTCTACAGAAGCTTTATACTTACACCGTTACCCAAATTTCTTCCCTTTATGAACCTAAACTTCAAGTGCTTCCTGTCGACCATATTGGGTAACTACGAAACATCAGTTGATGAATTCGGACCGAGTTCAGACTTTAGCGATAACGAAATACTACCCTTAAGGTGACATTGAAGACACCTCAGAATGAACGTCGAACATTTCAACAAGAACGAAATCAATTTAAAAAAGCTTATTAACTTCGGAAAGTTTACGAAAAACCGACAGGAAGAGAAACGGAATGAAACAATCGTCTTTATTTGAATAATAACGATCAAAGAGACTATTCAATATAAATAAACAAAGAGAAAAAAAGAATAGAGAAAGTTTAAACTACTCACCATCGTCGTCGATATAGGGGCTACCGAGGGTCCTGTCGGCAAGGAGGACCATACAGCAGAGCAGCCACAGTAAATAGACCTTCATGGCTCGTGGTAGCGGCTGAGGGATGATGACGACGAGACAGTAAACGTTTGCTACTCGGTTGTACTCAACTCGCCGCGTGTGCCTTCGTGGATCTCGCGGTTACCCTTTCCTGACCGTGGCCGGGGTGCAAGTGAGTGCTCCTACTCGGTCCGGTAGCTTATATAGACGCGGGGGGCGTGGCTATTCTCGCCCCCACGAGTGGATCTCGCTACGTCGCGGAGGGTGAGAAGACATCACGGGATAAGGAACCACGGACATGGTTCCACGGTCGTTCGCGGTGTCTGGACGCCGTCACGGTGGTCTTACGGCCCATCGGAATACCAGAAGAAGGGTGGGGGGAGGGGCGGAAGATGGTGGTGTGAGGATGATGTACATACATACGTACTTTGTATAGTTACGTGCCAGGCCACGGAGCGTGGCAAAGGTGGCCGCCACCCTTGAAACCGAGCAACTGGTTGCGAAGCAACTGGTACCCTCGCTGTGACTATCGACATTATGCTACCGTTCGTAACTATTCGAAGCAGCCCTATCCGATTTAAAAAGTTGTACATCCCTCCACAATCAAGTTGACCGATGCGATCTGAGGATACCAAGCAACCAGTAAACTTACTTTATCGTTATACAGTGATTCCTCGATGAATGCGACACGAACAACGGCGTTATTCCCACCACTAGGGGGTGCCCCTATGGATCCGATCAAAACAAAGTAAACAGAAGCTAAGCAGAGGCTCGGCTTCGTGTAAAAAAACAATTGGACCCGAGTTCGTCGCACTTATCGAAACGTTACTGTATTAGGTATGTTGTTTTCTTGCATAGCATATTATCTAGTAGGAAGTTGTCTCCATGCAACGATAACGACAGTATTGTTAAAAGTTACGAAATGAGATCGCAAACACTTTATTTTTAACAACTTATTTCTTCCATGTTTTGCGATTTGTTTTGTGTAAAAATTTTATGTGAATTAAATAATTTTAAAAGAGTTTTTTAGAGAACATATTTATCTGACACAGAGGAAATAATGTAAATGTAACAAGATTTGTTCGTAAATTATATTTTTAGTCTTCAAACAAATTTTCATGTTGCTTTTCGGGATTAGTTTTCTATCCCTATATGCAATCAATAGCATTTCATTTTTCTTTTCATATTTTAATCTATTAAGTACAAAATTAATTTCTTTTAATGTTAGTTCGCATTAACCCAAGACAAAAAAAAATACTACTAACTTTCTATGTATGTATCAAGTGGCCAATTAGATAGCACATTTTGATCAATGTTGAATTAATAGTAAAATATGCTTCTATAGTACCTGTCAATCATTTCCATTCACACAGGTTGTAGATGTTCCGGAAAAATCGTTCGCATCAACTTGGTTATGTTAGTCGGCTTAAAAACTACGCAAAATATGTGGTCAACCCATATGTTTACGGGACATCGAAACCGGGTGTGTATTACGTGAATGCCCAAGCGCGCTGCATAAATAAGCGTCTGGTTAATTGCTACTGCACAGGTGTACAAACTATGTACATAGGTACACACCCTAAACAAACACAGAATAAAGACCAATTTAACGGTGTTGTGATCGTTAGATAGGGTCGACATGATTAATTTCTATGCCTTTGAAATTGAGGAAATATAAGTCCCAAAGGAATCTTCAATTCTATGTCGTCAAAAGCAATAATGATATAGAACTTGTTTAGATCAGTTTAGAATCATTGCAGAAATTTGATTCTAGCCTATGAGATACATTGAACACGATAATATAATTCGTTATCATAAATTTGGTGTTTTTTTTTCTAGCTATACAAGACTTTTCAGAGATAAGTTCAGTCATTTTGGAGAAATATTAAGATAATACACATTCGACTGCAATAAATGTATAATTAAACTGTATAAATGCAATAATTTTGTTGTAAATATGAATGTAATAATTTTGTTATAATGTCTGTATTAAAATGTTAAAGTTTAATTATTGAAAGTTCAAGTGAAACGAGTTCCACGAATACGAATTACGTCATTACGAATAGGAATTAACCGAATAGAAATTAGTTTACCATGGGTGAATTATTCTCTGAAAATGTCTGATATAGATCACAATCCTTGGTGGACGAGAATCACTGGAATTGAACTCCTTGATTCTCCCCTTTCCTATTTCGCCGGGGCAAATAGAATAAAAATCTGCTGCTTAGTTGCCCCCGCAATTTCGTTTGAGTCCCCGAGCTTAGAACTAATTGAGCTCAATCCTGCAGCAACATTCGCTGCTTTTATCGAGACACCGCCGGGCTTCAGGGTGCACGATTGCTTCGATAAATCTGCACCTTGCAATTTAAATTTTCATACTGAACACTCCTGAGCATTGAATAATGCATTATTCAAAATGGCGAGATACTTTTGAAACCCACTGACTTGTGAGTTTATGAAAATTCTTCCTTAATAGAGAAAGATTTTATTCCCTTGTATTTTTTTTTGTATAATGCATCCAAGCGCAAAATTATCGTTGAATAATTTTTTTATCGGAGAAAATTAATTATTAAAAAAGAATCAAATTTTATTAACATGAAGAATAATGACAGTTCATTTTTCAGTAAATAGTTTTTATAGAGGTTGTTTCAGAGGAATGCAATATGTACAAGAAATTAAACAAATGGAAGTGGTTTTTTTAAAAGCCCGTAACTTTACACGCAAAGTTTGTATCGTAAAGTTTGCGATAGAATTTTCAATAGACTTTCACTCTCGGTCGGCTGTATTAAAAGTGTAATCGACGTTGATTGAGACGGCAGCTCAGAACAAAATGCTTTATAATTTACTTTCCGTTGAACTTCCTTAAATCCATTAATAAGTGACTGTAATATTTCGTAGATTAATTTTCTCACTCCTACGGAGAAAAAGAAAATGAATTTGTCAAATACATAATATAACTGTTACACTCCATTAATGACCATAATAAATACAATTAAATTAAATTTCAAATTAAAACTTCGCAATAAAAATTGCTCGTTAAATTGTAAATGAGTCACGAAAATTTTTAATTACACACAGTTCCCTACAACATTTTTAAGTGACGCTTAATTAGACCTGAAGTGAAATTGCAGGTTATTTCGTAGTACATGGAATGATCATCAGTAACAAACGAAAGGCACAAAAACTACTAGAAACGGTTATGTACTGATATTTATTTATTGTTATAACAATTGCTCACAATGGTCACCTTCAAAGTACTCGAAATGTCCTTCATAGGAAGTGCTCAGAATAGTCATTTTAATAGAAAATGTTCGAAATGGCCCCTTCACAGGAAGGGCTCAAAATGATCACCTTCCAAAAACATATTCTAAACTGTAAACTTATGCTTAAAGTGGTCACAAGAAGTATTCAAAATGATCATCTTTACCTCGCAAGTCTTGTAATCATCCTGCCAATAAAATAGTGTTACTCATCCTTTAAAAATTCCTTCCAATAAAAGGAACTATCCTATAATTTGAGAACAAAATCAAACAATGCACACCGGTATACAGACATTTTTCATTGTTTTTATATTTTCCGAACCCCGCCGAAATATAGTATATCCCACACATTATGAAACTCCCTGTCTGATATAACTGTAAAATAGGATTTCCAACAAACGCTTGCACACCGTCTCGTTAGCAATATTTTTAATTGGAAACTTTAATCTCACTTTCGTGGACACTGTTCGACTCCTACGTTCCATCGCGTCGAAAAAGGATTAATTAAAACCTCGATATTTACCCGTAACCTATATACGTTTTTGTCTTTTTTTTTTCCATTGATAAAAATTCGAACAAACGTGATACCGGTAACTGCACGTGGCAGTTTCGTCGCGCGTGCAAGCACCAAACGCGTAGAAAAATTCATGACCCGGCTGATTTCATTTCCCCCGAGAGATATTCGCGGACGAATCACGAAATTAGGTTAGGGGTACGCGTAAATTCGCATGGAAAATTGTGTTTGTCGTGGTCACGTGTACGTGTCAGATTTTTGTTTGATCTACCAACCGGCGACAAAAGATTTGAAAATTAAAATGGAGCAGAAGTTTTATTTCTATAGTATAGGCTTTAATACGTTAATAATAACATATGAATAATATTAAACTACATATATTCAGTATAAAATGGAGCAGAATTTTTTATTCTGTACTTGAAACTTTATTACGTTAATAATAACACATAGATAATAATAAATTACATTAAATACAGTGGAATTTTGAATTCTGTAGTAGAAACTTTACTAGATTAATAGTCACATATAAATGATACGAAACTTTATTAAAACCTTTATTTTATTTCATTTTCCACGTTAAGATACGTTGTAAATGCATAAATGGAATCGCTGTAACACTCTAGCTTAACATTTCCAGTTAATCTCGGTTTATTTGTGCGATCGAATTATAATTAAATAATGAGTAAATGCCACCATATGTGTTATTGGATAAAATACAGTACAACGTAATGTGTTATTGTATAATATTGTTCAGTATGGTGGAATTATTACGTGCACGAATAAGTAATCCACCAATTTGTTTAAATACAATTGTCATACGCTTTGAATATACAATTGACACTATAATTCAGAACATATTCCAGCCCTTTTTTCGTCAAAAGAAAAATGAACGGGAACGAGGATGCATATCATTGAAGTAGCAGAAGTCTTCCGGTTTCCTAAAAAATTAATATCGAATATGGTAAAATAAATGACATACGTATATGTGCTAATGATTATGAAAGTGGTGAATGTGATTATTGTTTCGAAAATTCTTTCGTAATATTAAAATACAAATCAACATAAGATAAAATAAAAGAAAAACTCAATTTCTTTGGTTTTTTGACTCACCACAACAATCGATGCGACGTAAATGAAAGTGAAAAGAAAAAGTTAAACAAGGATCGGATAGACAAACGTCTGCCCCTAAACAACAAGGAACCAGTGTTCTCTGCGCGACTTCATTCTTATGACGATTTTCGTCCTACGAACGAAACAGGGGGGGACCGTTCGCCGCATTACTTACGCAATACACACGACATTGTTCCTCGAAAGCGTGCAAACTAGTCTGTTCGGACAGTGTTTTCAACGGGGCTGAAATCTGCCTGTGATGGACACGTCTGCGTACAGGTAGCCAAACGAAACGTTTCGAAGTTTCGATGCGTGGGCAATTCGTTCATGTTTCCGACGGCGAATCGCACGGATAGATTAATTCTCGTGCACTTTCGAATAAAATGTTGCGTCACTATTTCTGGAATGGAATTATGCCTGAATTAAAATTGAATTAAAAAAAAAATATCTTACAATGGATGATCAAATTATTATGAACATTTCGTAGTACATTTTAAGTACCAGTCATTTGAATTTTGATCAAGAACGGAATTGAAAATACACTTATAATGGTACCTCCTTTATTACAAAACATATTGTTATATTTTTATTAATATGACAACAATTATAGTTTATCAAAAAATATATGTATCAATATTTCGTCACGCCAGCTTTCGCACCTATGTATAATTGCTTGAATTCTTCTCAGAATACTTCCAATATTTCTTTGACACAATATAATTTTATTATTCACAGTATTAGAATAAATAATAAACAAGGAAACCAACAATCAACAAAAGGTAACCACATAAATTGGCACATACGTTGTCGATATTGCAAATCGAAAAAAAAAATAATAAGTCTGGCAGGACTTCAACACAAAACCTCTTTCTAATACATTTACTTTTCAGCGAACGAATAGAGGAATTTGCGATCATGGTTCTTATATCTTCGGTGATTTTCGAAGATATTGAGCACTAAAAGTTACTGGACCATTTTTTATAATGCACGTATTATTGAACAGTAGTTTCGTTATTCTTCTTTATTAAAAACAATGTAATCAATAGTGTGAATAAAATTGTACCCTACAAAATGATTAATAACTAAATTTGCTTAGTTATCCTATTTATGTATAAAAGTATAGAAAAGCACGGGTTAGTGATTGCAACAAATAATGTACTGGACGACAGAGTGGGGTGCGTGCACGTGGATGAGAAATACGTATGAGCAAAGGGTGTTCCTATGCAACAATAAAATAGCCTACAATAAAATAACCTACAATAAACGAGCGCACACTGTATGACGTCATACCTAACCAGTATGCAACAACATTATTTCAATTGCTCCTTGTTAATAAGTTGTTATTAAGATATCTGTCCATTGAATATTATAAAACTGATCAGGAGCAATTTTTTGGTACCATAATATTTGTGTAAAAAGACCATTTACTATCTATTTTGCAGACAACAAATTTTTGCTTTTTCATTTGCGAATATCTCATTAAATATAATAGTTATGATAGAAGCAATTTTAGATTCCATAGGAGCAATTTTTTAAGATAAAAATTCTTAAGAAATACTATGTAATAGCACCGACTAGGTATAGGATAGACCTATCATCTTATGGGACTTCGTGTCTCATGTTCTGAAATACCGATAGTGTAAAAAGTCAGGTATTTTCTGCTGCCCTCTACGTTATGAGAACGGTGAATTTGTGAACTACGTTAAATGAGTGTCGGTACGTCGGAAAATCATCGAAGGGACCATGGTCGTGAACGGATTCTCTTTTGTCCGTTCTCTGTAAAGTGGACGTATTAGAACGGAATCTTGGGTTCGAGTCCCGACGGACCTATTCGTTTTTTTTCACGTACAAAAAAGTTATTGCGTTTAATATAGTTTAATATTGTTTTTATGGATATGTGTATGTATTATTATGTACATTTGAGTAAATTATTTTATTATTCCATTGTTATTACAACAGTTTAACAGTTACAACGAACGCATGTATATTTGCAAATATCGGACTAATAGTATATTTTTATTCTATATTATTACATATAAGTGAGTAATACGTATCAAAAATATAATCGAAACACAGATTTTTATTACACCACAAACATCGCATAAAAGATATTTCGTTATATTGACATTTGTAATAATTATGGATGTTGTGGGGAAATCAAAATTATTGACATTATGGAACATATAACGAAATATCATTGTAACACTTAAAAAAGTTATAAAGTTCCATTTATATCATTGTCCTGTGAAAATGTTCATACTTCCAGCAGCATTCATATTCCAATCAAAGAATTTACAGAATAAGGAAAAGGAATCTAAATTAATTTTCAGTAGTTCCATACATCTTTATCTCGAATAATTTTCTAAAACATTCAAAGTACTAGACATTTTTACACTTTGAATCTCATATCGATTTCTAAAATAATCCTAGTTCGATGTAATATAGAACGTGGTTTTATGAGATAGATTCGAAGTTCGCAGCCATTAGCTCGATATTGTCTTCAGTTTACAGTACTTTACCGATGACAATACCGATTGCCCAGGCCTCACCACGAGGAGGTTGCTGCGAGTGGAGGCCCAAGGCAAGTAGATGGAATCACAAGTTCTACATCTACCCACCTTTCACAATAAACCTTATAAATTACTTAAATCTTAACTATATAATACTACCGATACTAAAATCCCTCGGCGGATGACTTCTTTCTTGAGCCTAAACCTATAAAAAACTAAGTTCCCTCGTCGGTTGTCTTCGTTCTTCAGCTTAGAACTAATATTATCGTAATATTCTAATGAATACGAATTAATGCTAGTAATACGAAATAACAAATTTATCGCAA